GGGGTCAGTACTGTTTTGGTCAAGTTGTCTACCTGACAGCTCGGTTAAAATGGTTGACATTGCAATGTGAATCTAAGTGAGTACCATGTATGTTATTGGTTGAACTTTGCTTGCTTATTGAACTAACATTTAATAAAGCTTTTAGAACTTTGAAGTGACTTGTTTTATGGTGTGTCTGCCTCCTGTGTTTAACGTGGTTTTTCCCTGACAACATCTAGGCTACAACTTCTCTACATTACTAAAAAGCATCATGTAAACATACTCAAGAAGAAGAAACAGTTCAGCCATGAACTATCTTAGAAGAAGTAGCTCAGCAACAATCTTAGAAGAGAATCTTAGGTGTCTAGTTAGTATTTTAAAAATCACAAATGGTGGTTGTTTGGAAGAGGGGTTCATGGTTCCTTATTCTGTTTGTTTTCCAGCTGGTGGGATTCGTGTATGCCTGTTATGTTGTCAGTGTTTTTACAGAAGAAGAAGACAGCTGTAAGTATTTGCCAGCACAGATCGCAGTCAGTGTCTATTGATTAAATGGTCTTCCTCTGAATGTTTAGTGGACTCTAGCTGAAGATGTTGGTACATGGGAACAGATATTGTTACCTCATTATTGATGGGGAACAAATTGGTTCAACTGACATTTTAATACAAAGTTACATTTTCAGATTTTAAAAAATAAGCTGAAACAAAATCATTATGCCTTTTATAGTAAAGTTGTTCTCCAGTTAAAATGTTTACAAAAATGCATCCATCAACGAAATCTGACTACACTAGAACATTGTACCGGGGGAAATTATTTGCAGAAAATGTGACTGTTCAGAAAAATGGCCTTTAGATGTCTGAATGTGGGTGGGTCATGTTTTAAGTCTTCAGAACACTTTATTATATATCGTAGTCTGGTAACCAATGCAAGAAAAATGGAAGATGAGAGGAGGAAATAAGGGTGAGTTCAAGCTGTTTCTTCCTTCTTTCTCACACAAACTCTTCAAAGAACTCCCTGATACTACTCAGATGTTCCAGGGACTGCAGCACACCGACTCTTAAGATGAGCATTAAAGTCAAGGTTGGATTTAACCTGCCTAAAATGCAGCCCCTTCCTTCCTTCCTTCCTTCCTTCCTTCCTTCCTTGGTAGAGGAATTGTAGGAGGCTGAATATGGAGGAAGCATGCATTCACGGCCAAGTAGAGCAATCCTATGATGCATCAAAGAACAATCTGGTGTCAAAATACATCAGGAAAACAATTTCCAGTAGTAGTGAGCAAGGAGGTATATAATGCCAAGTTCACAGGAATCAGTAGTACTGCTCTATGTTACACGGTCATGCCATGTCTGGAATACCGTGTCTGGTTTTGGTCACTACAATACAAGGAGGACACTGAGGAACTGGAAAGAGTGCATGAAGAACCATGAAGATGGTGAGGGACTTGGAGGCTAAGTCCTATAAAGAATGGTTAAAAGTACGGGGTGTGTTTAGCCTAAAGTACAGAAAGCTAAGGGGAGATATGATAGCAGCTTTCTATCACTTAAAGGGCTGCCACAGGGAACAGGATGGATTTATTCTCCATAACGTCCAGGAGTAGGACAAGAACCAGAGGGTAGAAACTTTACAGAGGGAGATCCAAACTTGAAATAAGAAGGCATATCCTGACCATGAGAGCTATTAAGAGTGGAACAGCCTGCCTCCCTTCATCCCTAAAAGTTTTCAAACAACGATGGGACAGCCATTTGCCTGAGATGGTCTGAGAATTCTTGCCCTGGGCAGGGTGTTAGACTGGAAGACCTCCAAAGTCCTTTCTAATCCTGTGATTCTAGGATTGTATGAGATCCCCAAACTCTTAAATAAGGAGCTGCTTATAGGGAGGGAGGGAGGGAGGGATTTATGTGAGCACTGGGGCAGAAATAGATTCCATGTCAGCCAACTTGAAATCCTAGGGTTTGATTTCCTCATCTGAGACTAGAGTTGCTCTCTGAGCTTGGAAGGGAAAAAGAATCTTTGATTGCTGGGACACTTTCCCAGGGACCATGGGATTGCTGCCTAAAAGTATATTGGCTGGCTCAGGAGGTCCTTGTGGTGACATTGGATCACTAATCTCCCACCAAACAATACATTAACTTCAGTTGCTCTGTGGGTATATATTTTTTCCAGTGGATTAGAGAACAAACATTATGAAACTGGGATTAGGGCTTATTATGTCAATTACTTTTCAGAACTGCCTAGAAGATGTGTTCTTGACCATGGTTTTATTGATCCAAATTGCACCAGAGCTGACCTTTAGATTTACAGGGCCTTCAATGAATAGCTTGCATGGTTTTCACCATCCTTTCCTGAGCCATGATAGATTACTGTAACCAGAAGCTTTGAAAACAAATTGCATTGCATTTCATGTTACTAAAACGATTTATTGGCCAACTGGAGAGAGGTTCATTTTTGAAAGATGTCTCAACTTCTAAGGCCTGAGTGTCTGGACCTGCAGAGGCAAATGTTGCTGGAAACCTTTATACATTTTTGTGTGGATTTCGGCAAACATACAGTTTTGTGTAGACGTTTGCTTACAAAACGATTTCTCTACTGGAATGTAGTTTTGTACATTAATTTTGCAAATATATATAGTATAGCTAGTTTCCTTAATGTATTTTGCGCCTGGAGACATTCTTCTTCTCTGTGTATGACCTCATCTGCTGTCTCTTCTTTCTCCTTTTTACCTTTTCTTCATCATTTTAATTTTGAATATATCCAAAAGGAGACCTTTGACTGCACCACGCATCTGTTTCCTTTTTCTTCTCTTCTTGAAGTCTGAAGTTATACCTCTTGAAATCCAGCAGTAGAAATTGACTGCCACCGGTTTATAATAATAGAAAATATATGTAATTCAGAGTTCGCCTGTTGGGTTCTTGGTGTTCTCTAAGCTTGGTTGCTTTCTTGCAGATGTATCCTTACCAGGCTATGTAGCATCATCAGTGTGAGGGATTTGCTGGCTGTTTATATAAAGACTATATAGTCTGGGTGGAGATATGGCTTCTTCCTTGATGGTTCCTTAATGATTAGTGTATTTTTTCTTCTCTGATGGTTTACCTGTTGCTCCTTCCTGCTTATCTGGGTGTTGAGTGCTAGAGAAGATGTGCTGTGTTTCTTTCCTTCCTTGGCTTCTGGGGATGGCCTTTAAATGGCATGTAGATAGCATTCATCTCTATGTGTCTGTGGAGGTCTGACTTGGCTTGGCCTAAAATGTCAATTGTTTGCCAGTTGCAATAGTGGTTGACTTTGTCTCTGTGTTGAGGGTATCAGATCCTACCGTTCTTTAATCTTTCCACATATAGACTAATTCAACTACAATTTTAGCTGGCAAACAGTTGACATTTTATGCGAGGGAATTCCTGGAAGCTTAGAAAAAGAGAGGAAGGTAAAATGAAAATCTCTAAAGCATATATATCTTTTTGAAGGTATCTTCATTAACATTTAGAAGGGATCCTAGGGGCAATTTGAGATTTACCTAGCACCATATCCAGCCTGCAGACATTGGTTGTCCTTCTCCAAATTAACCGATGGAGATAGGAGGCAAATCTAAGCAGCTTTTCTCTTTCTCCCATTCCCATCACTTTGTCTGTGTCAGCTGCTCCTTGTTCACATTTAATACACACAGTGGCATTTTAGAAGGGCAATGACATGGGGCGTGAAGCAGAATTGGAAAGAGAGGAAGGCACTGGGGTGCAGGGGGAAAACGTGCACTTCTTGGGAGAAAACTCAATAACTTCAAACAGAAAGCTATGTTGTGGTGGTGATTTATCAAGAAATCCATACCTAATTTCAAGCCTCTTCCTCCGCTCTCTTCTTCCAAGGTGCCAAGTCCCCAATGCCAGCCTCAATAATTAATACTTAGAAACTGCTGATATTTCAAACTCGCAGTGACATGGCCTTCCAGTGACCAGAACCAATTGGTGATGCTCTTTTTCTCTGAAATACCAGCATTTCTTTGAAATGGTTCCTTTGATATGAAGCAGGAGAGACAAAGAGGCACCTTGTCAGGTGATGTCAGCCCCACTAGATGGACCAGACCAGGAAATTAACTCCACAAGGAGGCTAAAACTACTTTTATTGAGATGGGCTGTTACAACAGAATCTTATGAGTCTAATTCTCCTGGAGAAAAAGTGGCATATAAATCTAATAAGGACTAATAATTCTGTATGCCAAGAATGCGTAAGTTCCACACGGCTTGAGCAATGATAATTTTAATAATATTTCTTTGGCTTCCTGGAAGATGCAGGGGGGGTAGCCGGTGTCATCGTAATGACATCAGAGTGGGTGGAGCCAACATTTGCAGCAAGTTTTTGTTCAAGGGTTGGTTAAGGATGGAAGTGGTTTAACTCTTGTAAAGGATTTTGAGCTTTTGGGTATTTCTGCAAATCATCTTCTTGTGTGTGCGCATAATGCAGTTTAAGCTATGAAAAATCAGAAAAGGCCAAAAGCCACATTTTACTTTTAAAAAGACACTGATCTAAAAGATAAGGGGAGCCCAGGACAAATACCAAATGTGATTTAATACCACCTAAATTTAATGACAATTCAATTCCATTAAATCAATTCCATGGATTTAATTCCTCACAAGTTTTTTAATGATGTATGTAATTTATTTAATTTCTCTCCCAGTGTAACTTGGGACTCTTAGAGGCAGAAATGTGGCAGACTCTTCCCTCTTATAATCTGGGGTTAATAGAAAAGGATTCTTCCTTTGGAACCCCTGGTATTATGTTGTGTTTGCTATTGCTATTGTATAATTTTATGTATAACTTACATAAATAGGGCATGTACTGTAAGCCATTCAGAGTCAGTATCAACTGAACTGACATAGAAGCCAGATGAATAAATAAATTGAAACTTTCCATTTTCAGGTAAATTCTGGAGGGGCTTGGGGACTGAGTTTCCAGAGACTGTGTGCTTTCTTCAGTTTCTGTCTCCGGCACAGAGAATATATATATAAATATATTTACATATCTATAGAACAACAAATGAGAACATATGAGAATAGCCTGCTGTAGTGATGGATCGAGAGTTCTCCTTCTGGACCATCTTCATCTTTCATGCACTCTGTTCTGTCTCACTTCCACACCTGTCCACAAATTACTGCTTAAAATTGTGCCTGCAACATGCATTTTTGTACACATTTTTTTTTTTGAGCCAAGAATTGCTTTGCTACATCTGGGAAAGGTCTTTCTAGTTCTTGCACAACTTTTTCAAGCCAAAGATCTCACTCAGCTTTTCAATGTCTTGCCAAGGCCACATTCTGAAAGTTGATGGGACAGGAATAAGAAATTGGGGGGATGAAAACATTTTGACTGAATTTCATTTCTATTGAAATGGAATTTACATTTGCATTCAGTTAAATGACATTTACAGTAAATTCAATTTATAATTCAGTTCAGTTCAGTTCTATTAATACTATTAATATGATGACTCCGGTATTTTCTTTTTGTCATATTAAAAATTATAGTAGGATGACAACTTCTGGAGGGGTTCTGGGGGCCGATAGCCAATGCTTTGGAGGACCACACAGAGATCTGGAAGTTCAGATGTCTCCCTAATCTAACGAGGGGTCTAGATTGTGTCTTGGCTGTACAAGCAAAGGAGTGAGAACTTCAGGATCATTAACTATTTGAGAACTTCAGTTTACCAAATATCCAGCATCACTTGGAGTAAGAGGCAAAGTGGTTCCCATTTATTTCTTAAAAAAAAAAAACAGCGTATGAGAATTTTCCAACTGATTGAACAGCTTGATTAGTGTCCCATTGCTCAAGTCTGAATCTGCGGTTTTTCATTTTATAGAAGCAGGCATTGCTTGCTTGTAAACAATCTGGGGAATTTCCTAGGGCTATTGTGTCCAAATTATAAAAATGTGGAAAAATTAAGCATGTGTTTAATTCTCCTGTTGAAATCCACAGGACTTTGACATGTTTAGATGGTGTAAGTTTGTGCCCTCTTTTTGCACTTCTGGTTTTATTTTCTTTTTTTACACATACGTCTTTGCATTGTCTTATGCTTTCGTTTGCTGCCCTCCTCACCATCCTTTTGTTTTGTTTCAATTATGCCATTGTTATTGCTTGTGTTCTGGATTTTTTTTCTTTCAGTTGATTTCATTGGTGGATTTGACCCATTCCCTCTCTACCATGTTAATGAAAAGCCTTCCAATCTTTTGTTCAAGCAGACATATCTGTAAGTATGCCGTAGCAAGGCCTAGATGCTCTCTTTTGGCGATTCTTGGATTAAATCAAGGAATGTTACTAGGGGTGTCTACAGGGTATGGTCAAAAATTGTCAAGATGGTGGCCACAATGGTACGATCAAAGCTCCACACAGATGTGTCACACATAGGAAATGGGCAGAGCTTCTATCACACCCACTGCAGCCACCATCTTGACTTTTTCTTAGCCAGACCCTGAGGCCAGCTCTGAATCTGACGATCACAAAGATTCCTCAAGTAAGTTCATTGGTTTTACCAATTCTTTTGGCTTCAAAAAGCCTGCATGGACCAAGGGGTTGGATTAGATCCTTCCAAATCTATGATTCTCGTCACTCATCTGGTGTTGTACCTGAGAAGGAGTGTCCAGATTCATTTTCATTTTGCCTTAAGATTACAGCATCTCAAGAAGACATTAGCAGGTTCCATGGATTCTCTCACTTGTAACCCACTCAGCAAATCATGGCTCATAAATAAAATAAATAAATAATCCATAAATCATGATTAACTCATGGCTATAGCTTGGGATGCAGTGCAGGAATGTTGTTAATGAGATGCATGATGGGCAGAAGATATGCCTAGAATATTGAATAAAAGTAGGCAATAGTAGGATTCATCATGTTGTCTGTCCTCTTTGCAATATGGTATAAGAAGGGGAAAGTGGCCACCCAAATGTTCAGGGACACTAATACTGCTGGGGTAACTTCACCATCTGTAGATAAAGATGGGCAAAACTTAGAATGGCATGTTGGGAAGCGGGGGGTGCTGGAGGTTGCCGTAACCCGGCTCCCCCCATTCTGAAGTAGCTGGATGAAATGCAAATCTTGTCTGCCTCTTGGCACTCAAACTGCATTCCTGCTGCATTCTCTAGGTCAATATTTCTCAACCTTGGCCCCGCTAAGATGGGTGGAGTTGAACTCCCAGAATTCCCCAGCCAGCCATGCTGGCTGGGG